ACTGCCCTGGCATCACCTCAGAATAATCTTAACATGCACAAGGATGCAAAACATAAAGTGGCCTTCTCTAGACAGTGCTGGCAGAAGAGAAGATTTTCAAGGATCCTTTTGGTTTGCAAGGCTTTCATCAATAATTTATCAGCAAGCCATGCAAGTGTCACCCCTAAGGCACCAATGACAAAAGCACCAGATACATTTTGTGCAACTTGATCATAATTAAACAATTCTGTGGAATAAACAAAGGAAAGATGTCCTTGTTTAAGTAATTTGTCAGATAATACCAGATAACTGATTTTACAAATGCTTCAGCAAATACCTGACCTTTCCTCAGAATAGCCTGTGCTTTACTTTAGAGCCCTGTAAACACAGAATGCTCCTCACAAAATTACTCGATCGATTGAAAAGATGCAATCCGACTGCACAGAGAAACCATCCTTTTTTCATGGCGATGCCAGAGCATTTAAAATAAGGCACTAATAAGGGTTGTTCACAGGTCCCTGGGCAGCTCCTCTCAGATGCCTCAGCATGCCTTGAAGCACATGTTTCAGCCAGGACAAGGGAATGGAGCCAGGAAACAAACAAGCTCTGAGAAGCTGGTTGAAGTGCTTGTATTAAGAAAGCACTGACAAATTCTCCTGATACAAGAGCTCTTTTCCCACATTTTGTCCTTAACTCAAGGCAAAAGCTGGGGAGACACAAGTGGAGAGCAGACAGGGAGTAAGTATCAGTCTCAAATCTTAGTATGGCCTGGTGATCACGTATGTATGAGCCAGAATTAAGTACAAAGCTGGAAACTCCTGCCTCCAGGCAAAAAATGTGGAAAGGATCTACTTCAGTGAAGTTCCACTGTGCATTTCTATATGCTAGAGCATCTAGGCAGGCATTCAACATCTGACACATGTTAACCTCTCATGTGAGTCAATGTGATTTGGACTGGATCCCCAAGCACATTTACTAGCCAAAGAGCTGCATCAGTGTTAAAAACCTTAACAACGTCTCCCTTCGGGATCTGTCTGGGCTTGGATAAGTCCTCTTGGTCCAGAGGTGACTGTCCACAGGAGAGTGGGCTGAACACAGGAACTCTCTAGGAAAGTGCCTCAGCATCCAGCTTATCAGCGCAAGAGAAATTCAGCAGAAGTCATAGAATCATAGAACTATTACGGTTGGAAAAGACCTTCAAGATCATTTAATCCAACTCTAAATCCTCTGTTAGGCCCAGGTGACTCTCACCTTGGGGACAGCAGGTATCCCCGAAATGTCAGCTCTTGTTAACATTTCTTGAGTTTCCTTTTCCTCCTGGAGTAAGCACCATGTGAGCACCAAGGCCAGTGTGGAGCAGGACAAGTGCATCTGAAGAGGACATGCACAGCACATGCACTGCAGCAAGCAGGGGGTTTCTGGGCCACGGGCAGCCTCTCGTGCTGTGCACAGAAATCACTGTTCATGACAGAAAGAGGAGGTCCTGCCACTCCAGGTGCCTTGCGATTTCGCTTGTGAGTGGTAAGAATTTTTTGTGTCAATAAATTGTATGGTTCCAACTGCTTTGCTTTGCACAAAGCTGAAAAAAGTAGATATTTTGCCTTGGAAAAATAAGCCTGGTAAATTTGTTGCAGAGCTTTCACGCCTTTGTGCTCCTCTGCAACAGTCCTCAGCTGGGATCTCTCTTCTTACCACAGGGCTTGCCAAACTGGGCAGACAGCTATTTAGGCTGAGAGTGAAAGGAAGGCCAGGAGAAGTTACGAGGTCCTCTTCCTTGGGTAGGAGAGTGAGACAGACTAACAGCATGGAAGCAGCTCAAGCTGTGCCTGCTAGCATCAGCATCAGATAGGGGTACTGGGTATGTTACCACCAGGAGGATGTCTTGGGTGGATGCACCTGGAATTTGGCTGCAAATGAAGCCCTTCCTATGACAAAGCAACTGGAATCACAGCCAACAGAGTAGCAGTGGACAAATGTCGTTTACCTCATGTTAACAAGACTTTTGACACTGCCTCCCACAGTTTTCTGGTGCTTGGTTTATGACACTACAGTCCAGACAGGTGAACCACTATATGTGCAGAGAAACTGATTGATAAGGCTCAGAGGGTGGTGGTCAGTGAGTCCACCTAGACTACCAAAGGCCTGCAATGAGCTGCAGCAGCATCCTGGGTGCTGCAAGCAAGGGCACAGCCCAGAGCAAGGGCAAGCAGGGATGGACCCTCTCCTTGGCCTCATCTACCCTGGCTGGACCCAGGGCAGGAGACGAGTCCACAGCCCAGAGCAGTTTGGCTTCAGAAGCTCTGGTGTTGTGAGAAGAGGCTGCAGAGCCACCTGGAGCAGAGACAGCTTCAGGGTACCAGCACTGACCTGTTGTGTCAATATGCCTGCATTACAGCCCTGTGGACCTTCCAGTGTCTACCTTTACCCAGTGAGACATAGAGAGCTCTCTGAGACCTTCTTAAATCGTTCTACTCATTAGAACAACACTTAATCCAACACTGCCAGTAATGGCTGCTAAAACAACCACACACCTCCAGCTTCAAACATAGACTCCGTTTTCTCTCAGTTAACTCCTTTACTCCTTTAGTCTTAACCTTCTCTTCCCAAGCTCCCTGCTCTGAGCATCAGTCATCAAAGCAGCATCTCTAGGAGCTTGTATTTTCATCAGCATCCAGGTTGCAGCTGGTGACAAGCCTGCTGCCTCCGCTAGGGCCTTTTCCAAAGTGTTTTCCATAAATCCCCATTGCAGATTATTATTCTGTGGAAGCAGGAAAATACAAGACCTCAAACACACAGAAATATGCTGGTAGATCTTGCAAATGGAAGGGAAAAGGACCAAAATGAAAAGTGATAAGTTCCATTTTCGGTGTTTCACATTTCTACTTTCTAGGGTGCTCTTAGTAATGGGAAGCCAAGTATTTTATTGCAAAAAGATTTTGCAGTCAACAATGTCCCCTGTAGAGCCAGGGGGGAAATGAAGAAGCAGGCAATTGAGCAAGTTATGGGAGGTTACGCAGCCACCATGACTGAATAGTCAAAGCTATGACACCCATTTATCAAAAACAGCTTTGAAATAACAACACATGAATCTCACCATAAATGCAGAGTGGGAGGAGAGGCAGACAACAAAATAACGCAGAGCTTTGCACTTCGGTGGCGTAAGTGGAAGGTCTCTGTCTGTTTTACAGGTACACGGTGCAGCTTCCCGGGCAGGAGAGTGAGTGAGCAACAGCTCCATCCTCCTCCGAGGACACAAGCCCCAGGACAGCGTGGTGCCTCGAAGCCCATGCACCTCTCCTCGGGCCTAACAACGTAACCCTTCAAAGCAGCTGTGATAAATTCTGATTTATGTCTGCTGTTATTAATGTAATAACATTATTACTGTGTTTCCAGACATTCCGTCCGAGGAGAGCTGAATCTGAACGTGCAATATATACAAATGGCCCTGCTTTGTGTGTGTGTGCGCGTGTGCGTGCAATAAAGTTCCCCTCTTGCCTAATACGTGCTACATCGCAGAGTGTTAAATAGCTATAAGAAAAATTCTGCTAACTCAGAGTGACACCAAAACCCAGGAGATTTATGAATAATAAATTGGACATGGGGGAGGGTGTTGGTAGAGGAACTCCTAGCCTTGAATATTGAACGCGGTGCTTGGAAGGCAGGGAGATTTTTTGAAGAGGATGAGGCAAGGAAAGATATGGGAAAGGAAAGAATTGGGGAAGCAGCAAGTTGTCCCAAAGGAGGATTAAAAAAGGTGTAGCAGAATTATTAATTCTCATCTTAACCTTGTGTGTCACTCTGACCTCCCAAAACTCAAGGTTTTTAAGGAGCTAATGGAGATGAGTCTCCATTACAAAGAGGGGGCAAAGAATGGTCCTTCCTTGGAAGTTGCATCCTAGATGAGGAGCGGGATGCCTGTGTCCATCCAGTCTCACCGCCTGCTTCTGGCATGTGCTGCAGCAGGAAGCCATAGAGAAATCCCCAAGAAACTCTGTGCATAGTACAGGAATAGCCTGACCCCACTGGAAGGTTTCTTTTCCTTCCCTAACCCTTGCCATTTAAAGGCTAATAACTAACTTAATGCATAGGACACAAGCCTCCCTATCTTTTTGCCTATCTCGCTATTGATAATAAATACCTAATCCTTGCTTGAATCCCGCTAAGTTCTTGACAGCAACAATGAAGAGATACAAATCACATATTGCCTTCACATGCAAATAAAGACTATTTGTGTTGCGTGTCAAGGAATAAGGCACTTTGCCCATTCGACATGCAATTAGCTCATTAAGTGTTTACTTCTCACTGCCTGCAGCTCCTCTCCCCCCACATCCCTGCTCAGTGCGCCCCCCAGGGCCTCGGAATTAGCAGCTGGATGGAGGATTTACATGTGCTGCTCAAGCAACGCTCAGCACTCAGCACAGAGCAGCGCTCAGCAGAGCAGGGACCTTGGCAGACGGTGCTGTGCTTCGTGTAACGCTGTGCTCCCCATATACACTTGTTTCTCCGTCGGGGAGAGGGCACAGGCAAGTTCTTTTAAAGACACATAAAGGCCCAGTTTTCTCCATCAGCCCCAGTGCTTGACACAAGTGTAGCCACATCCACAGATGCTACAGCAAAACCTTCAGGTGGGCACGAACTGGAAGACCCATAGACTCGTTCCTCGGGGAGTCAAGCATGGTCCAGGAATGGGAAGAAGCTGCAAGGACCAAGACTGCAAGGCTCCAGGGAGCACGTCAGCATCAGCCCTGCTCTGGTACTGGCTCCCGTCCGCCCCGGCTAGGGAGGGGACACCTGGGGACTTGGATGTCCCCCGGCCTCCACCAGACCCGTGGGACTGCTGCTCTTCCTCTGCCGAGCAAGTGGCTCCATGGGGCCTAAAAAGGAAAGAGAGGAGCAAAATCCCTCTGTTAAGGGGCAGGATGGTGCCTCCCAGTGGAGCACCCACTCCCTTCCACCATGGAGCACGGCCTCCTGGCAAGGCAGCACGTCCAGCCAGGAGACCTGGCTGGCTGCCACCCCACACCGGCTCCCAGGGGAACCACTGGCCATGGGGAGCCCCCACCACCTCCCGCAGCAACCAGGCACGAGGCCCCTGTTGGAACGGGAGGAGGAAACGGTTTGGAAGCGGCTTTCTCTCCCTGATTCTCTCCCCTGCATGCTAATCAGCAGCGCTTGCTAAAAATACCCTGCGAAGCTGGCGAGCGCGCGTAAGAAG